AAAAAAAAGCATAATTTTATTCCTCTTGTAATTAATATATCCCTAATACAATTGCTTATCGTACTTGTGTCGATTTTCATATGAAAAACTTTAATTTTTGAAGTCAATGAAGTTATGACATGGTGCAACAGTGTGTTGCAATGATCAAATTCAAGACTACCAAATTTCTCAGAGAAATATTAAACCAAAGCAGACTGAAATTTGAACAACAGAACAACAACATGTTATTCTCCTTCTCACATTCAAATTACATTATCAAAATTGTTGCAACAATAGGAACAACAACAATAACAGAAATTGATCTTTTAAGTATCTAAAACACAAATTAAAATTTTTTTTCCAATCTCACAGTTCATATGTACGGAGCTATCAAAGAATGATCTTTTTTAATAATATAAAAAAAATCAAAAATGGGAAAATGGAAACGGTAAAGAATCATCATTTATCGTGGTTTACAACTACAAGAAGCTGGAATACCCCATCGACGGAGCAGCAGCCGGTGACCGGCCGTTGAAAAGATCGAAAGATGACCAAACACCGTCGATTGGACATGGTTTACCGGAATCGAGCCTTGACCATGGCTTCCCTTTCCCACTCCAGTGGAGAAGACTTACGGGGCCTGCGTGGAGAGGCCTGCAGGAACCCTTTACATTGTCGCCACCAAGGCCGTGCTGATTCCACCGGTGGTGAATCGGCTTCACATTGCCGGCAAACACTAGTAAAAACGGAGGGAGAGAACCCAGCTCGTAAATCCTCCGTTTCTTTTGAACCTCCATCCAGTTCTCAATCATCTTCTTGTAGTTTCCCTCTCTCCACCGCTCCAAATCCATCACCATAACGCCGGTGTTGAAGTAACAGGGGTTTCTGGATTTGAATACCCGGGCTAAAACCGGGTCCGACCAGAATGCAGGGGTGAAATAATTGGTGAAATTGGCGTGGCAGTACTCCGGTGCGCCGATGACCCGGGAGTTCGTCAATTTGGTGTTCCAGAGCACGCGAATGTCGTCGACGACGAGGATGTCGGAGTCGAGGTAGATGACACGGTCAACGCAGGAGTCCAGAATGTCTCCCAGATAGATTCTGGCGAAATTCAGGGGATTCTCCAGTGCTTCCCGGATTGAGGAAGAAATGAGGTTAATCACCTTGTCTTCTCTGAAAATATAGATTTTGAATTTGAGCGACGGGAAAGTAGATCGGACTATTTGGTTCAGCAACCGCGGATTGGCCGGGTCGAACTCCGCCGCAATGAAATGGAAGAAGATGTTGTCCGGGCAGGATGCATGGTGATTGATGGAGTTCAGGGCGGCGATGGAGCCACGGAGGTACTCCAAATCCAGTGTCATAGCGATGTGAACAAAAGAAGGATCACACAACGACGCAAACTGCTTATTCGCCGGACATTCCTTCCCGTTCCGATACTGCGCCGCCTCAACAAACTGTAACGCCCCATAAACACCAAACCCATCCCCCTCGCCGACAGGCAATCTCGTTTCAATAGACCGAATCCCAATACAAAACGGCCATAGCACCACCCACAAAACGAGCAGTAACTCAACAGAGTGCCGCCGGAAACCCATTATTGATGAAAACGAAAAACAAGAATTCTCAAATGGGTTTCTTGAAAACGAAACTCAAACAACACTCCCACGATTAATTTCCATTACAATGAAAAAAGAAATGAAGAAAAATGACAGTAAAGAAACTGCAATTTGGGGTTCCAATTGTTGAGAGAGAAAGAAAGAAAGAAGAGATAATGACGGAGGAATTCACTTTTGTTTGGTTTCCTCTCTGGGTTTCTCTTTCTTTCTCTCTCGTCGAGTTTGGCCATGGGGGAGAGGGGGCTTTATAATTTGCAGAGAAATTGCTCGTTCAAGGAAGGTATTAACGTTGGGCAGTAAATATTCGGGGGGAAGAGTGGCAGAACGCGCCGACGGTGCGGGTGGGGTGACAGGATGTGCGGCGTATTTTGTTAGAATAATGTGTTTTTGAATTTGGGGATCAAAACGTATTTGATCGAAATTAGTTAGTGGAGATCTTATATAATCAATCTAAACTATACAATGTTTTACCTTAAATAAAATAAAATATTTTGTAAAAATGTGAATCATGAAATTTTATAAATCAAAAATAGTTTTGAAAATGTTGTTTTTTATTTTGAATTTTTCATGTACCAAGTGGCAAAAGCTATAGCCCCTACATCACCCAATTGATTAATTATTGCTTATAATTTGAAAAAAAAATTATTTGTTTTGTTAATTACTACATGCTAGCCTCAATCTTTTATTGGCTACGAAAAAGAAAAAAAGGTGATGAAGTAGTTCTAATATTGTCATAGGGTTATAAATTTATAATTAATTACAATAAATTATTATAAATAGGGAGTATTATATATTAATCCTAACTCTAAAATAAACAGTCTCAATTTTAAATGATGTGGTTTTGTTTAACTAAAACTTAATTAAAAATTTAAAAATTTACATTATTTTTTTAAAATAAAATTTTACATTATTAAATATTCATGCATGCATTTAAAAACTAAAAATTTAATTCAAAATTTAGAAATATATCTCATTAAATGTTAAAATATAGATTTGAAAACTAATTATATTAAAATATATAATCAATTTCTATATTAATATTTAATAAAATAAAATTTTAAATTTCAAATTGTGTTTTAATTAAGTGAAAGAATGTGAGAACTCTAATTTTTTGAGAATTATAATTAATATGCACTTTAAAATATATATAATATTATGTGTGAATTATTGAAAAAAATTAATTATATAATGGGTTCTTATTTTGCAATTTAAATTATATCAAATGATAAAATTAAAATGCGAGAATCCAATATTAAGGGATCCTCTTTAATCTAAGAGTTATTATTTTATAGTTTGATATAATTTAAATTATAAAATAATTTTTTTTGTTATATATTAATACATCATAATCATGAATGATAACTATATCATTCTTTTAAAAAAATAAATAAATAAACTAAATCTTTTATTAACAAGCAAAAAGCAACCCCTAAGAAAGATGTGTATCCATTTACCAAAAAAAAAAGA